ATTACTTAAATACTGTTTTAAACTCCCACCACTAAAATCAATGATACCTCTTTAATTGCCAATCCAACTGCTTCTCTCCGGTTCTCATATCACTCACCTGCAAAATAACTGTGGCCTCGCTTGGTCTGTATCACATGACATTCTGATTTTCCTTCTATCCAAGTATTCTTGCTCATTGTCTTCTGGGTCCTCTCTCTCTCTCACCCATCCTAGATCTCAAAGCTCTCCAATGGCAGCATAACCTGGTTTGGTAATTCACTTATGCTTCCATTTGATGACTCTCAAATCACTGTCTCCAAGCCCTGTCTCCCTCCTGAGCCCCACATCTATTGTTTTGTTCCCAGACAACAACTCCTCAACACCACAGACTCTAAAATTGGACATCAAAAAACCACAAAACAAAAACAGAAAATCACAGACGTCTCTCTGATCAATCACATACATTGCATCAAGAGCTTGGCTCTCAGTAACCACCGTCACTAACTGGCTTTCAGCAGAAATGAAATAAAGGCAGTACATAAACACTTGGCAAGTCTTTGTACTTTTTTTTAAGCTCCTCTATTAACCAATCACTAGTTCTTTTGGTACAAAACTAAACCAGGGCTTCGCTGGTGGCGCAGTGGTTAAGAATCCGCCTGTCAATGCAGGAGACACGGGTTCGAGCCCTGCTCCAGGAAGATCCCACATGCCGCGGAGCAGCTAAGCCCTTGCGCCACAATTACTGAGCCTGTGCTCTAGAGCCCGTGAGCCACAACTACTGAGCCCACGTGCCACAACTACTGAAGCCCACGTGCCTAGAGCCCGTGCTCCGCAACAAGAGAAGCCACCGCAATGAGAAGCTTGTGCACCGCAACGAAGAGGAACCACCACTCACCACAACTAGAGAAAGCCCGCGCGCAGCAACGAACACCCAACGCAGCCAAAAATAAAATAAATAAATAAATTTATATATATAAAAAACTAAACCATACATATCTTCCCATAAAAACCTGTTCCTCTTCTTTGTCATTCCTATGAAATCTTTAATCCTATGAAATACTAAAAATTCAGAATTACCTTCTGTTTCTCCTGCAACCCTCACTTGCGGTTGATACACACCTTTGAAAATTTTTTGAGGGACTTCTCTGGTGGCGCAGTGGGTAAGACTCTGCACTTGCAATTCAGGGGGCCAGGGTTCAATCTCTGGTCAGGGAACTAGATCCCACATGCATGCTGCAACTAAGAGTTCGCATGCCACAACTAAGGAGCTCACATGCTGCAACTAAGGAGCTGGCGAGCTGCAACTAAGGAGCCCACCTGCCACAACCAGGACCTGGTGCAGCCAAATAATTTTTTTTTTTTTAAAAAAAGAAAATGTCTTTTGAATCTATGTAACTTGGTTTTTTAAAATATTTTTTTCAATTATTTTTATTTATTTATTTTTGGCTGTATTGGGTCTTCGCTGCTGCACACGGGCTTTCTCTAGTTGCAGCAAGCGGGGGCTACTTTTCATTGTGGTGCCCAGGCTTCTCATTGCAGTGGCTTCTCTTGTTGCAGAGCATGGGCTCTAGGCATGTGGGCTCAGTAGTTGCGGTGTACAGGCTTAGTTGCTCTGCGGCATGTGGGATCTTCCCGGACCCGGGATCAAACCCGTGTCCCCTGCATTGGCAGGTGGATTCCTAACCACTGCACCACCAGGGAAGTCCCCTATGTAACTTGTTTTGAAACATATCCAAAAAATAAGATAGATACATGTGATAAACATAATAAGTGCTAACCATAGAATCTAGGTAGTGGATATATTGGTTTTCACATACAATTTCAACTTTTCTAGATGTTTGAGAATTTTTATAATAAAATGTTGAAAATAAACCTGTCTACATTCAGACATTGTTGAAACACATGCCCTTTTTGTTTCTTTTCTGACCTAATTGGGAGCCTAACTAAGCTGTCTCCCCAAACCCTCCCACTGTAGCTGTCCTCCAAGATGGCTCCCAAAGACCCCTGCCTCCTGCATTCACACGCATGTGAAGTGGCCTCCCACACTGTACTGGGGCTGGTCTCCACGGCCAGTAGTATACGGCAGAAGTGATGGTGGATCACTCCCCAGCTTAGGTTAGAAGAGACTGCAGCTTCCAGCTTGCAACTCAGCACTCTCTCAGATGACTCGTTCTGGGGGAACACGTAAATCCCCCAGGGATCTGGTTAAAATGCACATTCTGATTCGGCAGGTCTGGGGCAGAGCCTGAGATACAGCATTTCCAACAAGCTCCTAGGTGATGCGTATGCTGCTAGTGTAGGAATCAAACTGCAGTGCTGCAAGTATAGCTAACAAGGTAAGCAAAGAAAGAACACAGGGAGAGGTTCTCCGTTTTTTCCCCTGCAATATTTAAGTAGGTTAATATAAAGTCAAGCCTTTGTAGTGGTTCAGTGCAACATCATCTCAATACATTCAATTCTGCCGAGCAATGCTTCTCAAACATGAACGTGCATATGATTCACCTAAGGATCTCATTAAACTGCAGTAGCAGTAAGTCTGGAGCAGGAGAGATTTTGCATTTCTAACAAACCCCCAAGTGACACTGAAGCTTCTGGTCCACAGCCCACACTTTTTAAGGAATAAGGTTTTTTTTTTTTTTTTAATATTTATTTATTTGGATGTGCCAGGTCTTAGCTGCAGCACGTGGGATCTTTTAGTTGCAGCACGTGGGATCTAGTTCCCTGACCAGGGATTGAACCCGGGCCCCTGCATTGGGAGCGTGGAGTCTTAGCCCTGGACCACCAGGGAGTTCCAAGAGTAAGGTTTTAAAAGGCTGCTATACCTTTTTTTTTAAGTCTGACATGTTTGATTATATAAATATGTAAAATTTACATGGCAAAAGCCACAATAAAGTCAAAAGATAACGAATTTAGAAAAGAAATTTGCAACACGTGTGACAACATGTTCATCTTTTTTATTAGTTTCCTATTGCTGCATAAGAAATTATCATCCAGGGACTTCCCTGGTGGTCCAGTGGCTAAGACTCTGCGCTCCCAATGCAGGGGGCCGGATTTCGATCCCTTGTCAGGGAATGAGATCCCCCATGCCGCAACTAAAGATCCCATGTGCTGCAACTAAGACCCGATGCAGCCAAATAAATAAATAAATAAATATTTAAAATGTAAAAAAACCTATCATCCAACACTTTTCAAGTTTCAGAAACGTTACCCTGAAAGATAGACTCTTGAAATGGTTTACAAATGCCCATTACACATTCCAGCTTTAAGCCCAATCCCTCCAGCACCATCACCCACCCTGTGTGCACACCTGTACTCCACCAATACCTGACAACTCCCTGCACAATGTTAAGATCTTAACTTCTCTAACCTTAACCTGAAAACACACTTTTGTTTTGATAACATAGCAAGCCCGGGCAGTCGTCAGTTCAGCAGTCCTTCCCCTTTCCCTTCAAGTGAGCCTCGGTCTAGTTTGCCTACCTATACGCTAAGCATTTCATCTTTCTACTCTGTCATGGGGCTGAAGTCCCACGGCTACTTATTCCACATTTAGACAGAAATTATGGACCTTTCTTCACAATTAACCTCTCACTACATGTTTTTACTCATATAATTTTTAAAGATATACCATAAAACCCACCCTTTTAAAGTGTACAATTCAATGGTCTTTAGTATATTCAGAGTTGTGCAATCATCATCACTAATTCCAGAATATTTTCATCTTCCCCAAAGGAAACCCCATACCTTTTATCTATCTTCCCCAGTGTCCCCAGGCCCCCAGCCCCTGGCAATGACACATCTTTGTCTCTACAGATTTGCCTATTCTGGACATTTCACATAAATGGAATCATACAATATTTGGTCTTTGTGACTGTCTTCGTTCATGTAGCATATTTTCAAGGTGCATCCATTTGTAGAATGTCTCAGTACTTCATTCCCTTCTATGGCTAAATAATTTCATTGTATGAATATACCGTATTTTATCAGTTCTTCAGTTGATGAGCATTTGGGATATTTCCCTTTTTGGCTATGATGAATAACGCTGCTATGAACATGCATGTGCCAGTTTTCATGTGGACGTGTTTTCAGTTCTCTTGGGTGTATACCTAGGAGCAGACTTGCTGAGTAATATCCTAGCAGTATGCTTAATGTTTTGAGCAACTGCCAAAACCATTGAACCATTTTACATTCCCACAAGCAATGTTTAGAAATTTCATTATCACATTTTCAACCAATGAGGATGTTATAATTCCTGAAGCAAAGGAGACGTATGCCCCCACCGTATAACGATAATTCTCTACGAAGAATATTGCATTAACAAAACAGAAGTATATTTCCGGCACGACGACACAGAATAAAATGTTAGAGGTCCGAATATACTGAGTGAGTTAACCTTTCACAGCCAGCAGTTCTTTCACCGTAAAATAGGAACGCTGTGATGACACTTACGTTGCAGTCACCGTTAATATGAAATAAAACAATCCAAGTAAAGGTGCTTTCCTACACTGATTATCCGTGATCCAATGCGGGGCAAAGCTTTAGGGGCAAAGGGCTAAATGCCCAGTTCCCTCTCCTTCCCTCACGTTCCTTCCCGGCGGGAGGGGTTGCTGAGTGACGGAGGAGGCTGCAGCCACCTCTCTCCTCGGGGAGAGCCGACCTGACGAGCCACGCAGGAAAAATTGTTAGGACTCGAAAAGCAAGAGCCGGGCCACACCAGCCCAACCTCGTCCCCAGGCGAGAGATTCGCAGCCTGCTACTCAGCTTCACAGGTCAGCGCAGGATCTTCTTTCCTCCTTTCATGGTAAGACGTTTATTATGGTTGAAGCAGAAGACGAGGGGCAAAGAGAACACAAGCAAACCACCCCCCCACCCGCGATCCTAGTCTCTGTCTCTCCAAAGCCCCGCTAAGGAAAACACAGGAAACACGATTCATTACAAACTCTTGGAGGTGTATCAATCCCAATGGCCCTCACCCCCAAAGACTACCCTGTCGGACCCCCCGGGACAGATGGCGCAAAGCTTACCTGGTGGCCTCCTCCAGCCCGACCCGGCTCCGACCAGGCGCCTCCAGAGGGATAGTAGCCATCGCCTCCTCCGCCTTCTCCCGGCCAGGTGGTCTCAGCCGGGCCGCCCCCGCGCACTCGCCAGGAAATGGGAGGCTGGGGGGGCTCGGGGCGGGGAGGATATATGGGCGGAGGTGGGTGCACGGGTACATCTCCACCCCCAGGCCCGTAGTAGCGCCCATAAGACGGACCGTCACTGGGGCCGTAGCCTGAGCGCCTCAAGGCCGACATCGGCTCCACTGCCCCCGGACGCTTCCCGCCCCCCAAGGCCGGCCCATTGCGCAGGCGCCTGCGGGGGAGCGCGACTGGACCGCAGGGAAGGGGTGGTCGGCCGGCAACAGCCAATCCCAGGCCGGGTCCCGCCCCCTCAGCTTCCGCGTCCTGAGAGGGGAAGGACGGAGGTCCGTGGCTCTGGGCTTTGGGAAGCAGGAAAACGAGGGGCAGCACCGTGTTCCTTTAAAAGGGAGAACACATTTCCCCACTGTCTATCCAATCTAGATTCCTCTTCCCCTCTTATCAGGGTTGCGGAAAGCGTATCCCAGGACCGGGCTACGGCCCCGCCTCTTCTTGAGGACGGGCACGTGATGCCGGAAGTGGGTGGGGGTAATATGGTGGCGTTTCCGGCAGGCCCCGGCTGCTGAAAGCCGGGGCGAGAAGTTGGTACGGGTCCGGGTCCCTGTCCCGGTCCCGCTGAGGCGGCGACTGCGATAGGAGGAAGGACGTGTTGGACGCGCTGGCCCACCGCCACTATACATTGCAGCCTTATCTCAACTCAAAATGAACTATATGCCTGGCACCGCCAGCCTCATCGAGGACATCGACAGTGAGTAGTTCATCTCCTCCGAGTGAAGTATGGGGTGAGACCCTTCTTCCCAGGAGGGTGCCTCTTAGGAGGGAGCTCATAGAATGAGTCTGGGCTGGGGTCAGTGTGTTTTTAGTAAGGATCTGGACGTCCGGCGTTGGCATCTTCCACAGGATGCAGGAGCCACGGGACACACCGTTTGCCCACCTCCTAGCCTGCTCCCTGTATCCTGTCTCTCGCAGCCTTCACCGGCCCCCGGGCAAGCTGTGGAATTCACTTCTGCTTTTCAGGGATGCGGCTGCTGAGGCCCAAGTGTGAAAGTTGGCCGCCTCCCCGGTGCATTATCTCCCACCTGCGGCATTTCGAAGTACCAGGTGTTTACTGGTGGATGAATGAGAATTCTTAGAGAAAGGATTCTTCAAGAAACGAAAAGAGTAATACAACTGCAGTTGGACTTAATTAGCACTAAACATAGGATTTATGCTGTGTGGCCGTTTGCAATCTTTTACCGTTGAGGGTATTTAGACTTTAGGATTATGGTAATGGAGACCACTGCCGGATCAGGTATTGCTTTTTCCAGAAAGATTTGAGTCACTCACTTCAAACTTACTTTTTTCTTCTGTTAGACAGTTTTCTCTCGCATTTATTAAGAGCTCCCTTATTCCTAGTCACTGTCCTGAAGAGGAGCTCACTTCTGTACAGTTGTCTTTCCTTTTTCCAAACTCTCATCTGTGAATTATTCCTTAAACATTTTTAAAGTCTCAATCGTGTGATCTGTCTCATTAACTTATAATTGCTGCAAAACGGTTTACACACAGTTCCAAACAAGTTACAGGAATCTCAACAGTTACTATGTATGTAAATTAAAGAGTGAGTTTATGATTAAATTCTCTTCCTGTCGTTTGAAATCACTTTTTAGGTCCAAATTAGTGGTTTTGCTATTGAAGGGAAATGTAGGTTGGACCAAAGTCATGTATGAATAACCACTGTACAAGCCTGTCTGTAATGGGTGATGAAATCCTCAGTCTTAGTTATCTGAGGATGCCCTTTTGCCCTCACCTCTCTTGTTATGTATCTGAATTATTTGAGGCCCCAACACATCCTGCCATTCTACTAAAAATAATTGCTTTTCTCAAGCCTCTAACCCCTTTTGTGCAGATTCCAAGCTCCTCCTTTACTGAAAGATTTGAAACCATTTCATATGTACCCTTCACTGTGACATTCAGACACTCTCCTCAGTCTTTCTCTATTTTCACTCATCCTCTCATTTGAATAGGAAGTATTCCTCCCTTTCAGTTTGTGTCTTATTTCTCTTTCCTTCCACTGCTTCTGGAACCTTCTTCCATTAATATCCTGTTGCTCTCATATCCTCTCTCGCTCCCCCTCTGAATCCTCCCCTTCATGTATGTTCTTGTCTGTCGAATTTTTTCTCAGTTGTGTTTCACCATCAAATTCCCATCCCTTTTTTCACATCTTTACCCCCAAACCTCTTGAGTAGTCTCCCATTTTAACTCTACTTCCTGACCACCTGCAATAGACCACCTACCTCTATTACCCCTGCAATCTGATTTCTTTTGTCAACACACTACTGAAACTGCAGTCTTAAAGACACCTTCTGATGCACTTCTCCGAGCTCTTCCGTCTCCTCTGCAACACTGTGATACCGTTACCATGGGATTCTTCATTTTCTTGATTTCTCCAACACTGGTACTTGATTTTCTTACCTCTGCAACCGTTATTGTTCCCTAAAATAGATGGACACTTAGGTCCCATCTTTGGCTTGCTTCTTTCTTTAAATCTCTAGGAGGGCTCCTGGACTTTAATTATTATATCACCTCTTTGTGGACTTATTCAAAAACTGCTGTGATCCTGACTTCTTTGGCCAGTCTTACATCTCCAGTTGCCAGTTGACATTTCTACATAGGTGTCCTGATACCACTTCAGAATCACTACAGCTAATCACCTTCCACTGAGCTTGCTTCTTTTACTCCCAGCTCTTGGTAAATGGTCCTCCCTGACATGATGACTCAGAATTCCTACATCTTCTTTAACTCATCTCTTCAGCACCCCACTCTCTCACACATACCCACATATACAAACACACTTGGCTGACAAATCCCATCCCTTATAACTGCAGTGTCTTGGGCCTCCCATCCTGTCCCTTCCCATCTCTCCCCTGGTTCAGGTCTCTTCTTCATGTCTCAGACTCCGGGTCTAGCCTCAAAACCGTTCTCTCTTTTCTGCCAGTTTAATCTTCAGAGTTTTCTTGTTCCCTGTGAAGTCACATCCAGACTCAGCCTCTGCTCCCAGGACTTCTCTGACTTCATCTCCTGTTATTTCCCTTCACACCCTCAACTTTTCGCCAGACATTTGGATACATAGCTCTTTTTTCTTCTGCCTCAATTACAGATTTCCCTCCTCTTCCCCTTCCCTGTCACTCTTCCTATGGCCAAAAATGTCCAACTCAGATACCTGCTCCAGCTAGATATAGTTTCTCTCAGTCTCACATAATTAAGATTTGCTCTCTTGTGGTGCTTAATTATAGACCCAGAAAGCCTATAAATTCCTTCAGGAAAGAATCACTGTCTTGTTCCTCTGTTCTGCATCTAGAAAGTACTTTATCCATGGCATTAAGGAACAAATGAATGACTTTGGCTACCTATTCTATTGACGGGCTGACTATCATTCTTCAGTGTCAGCTCAGGGTCACCTCTTCAGAGAGCTTTTCCCTAGCCACCCTCTCTTCAGTAGCTTCTTCCCCTCTTTTTCTCATCCTGCTATCTTGTTTATTATTCCACTAGACTACGCACTATAGGGCATTTTTAAAAATTTGTTTGACTTTCTCCACCAGGAATATAAGTTCCATAAGGTTGGTGACTCTAAATGTTATTCTGTACCGCAGCGGTCCCTAACCTTTTTGGCGCCAGGGACCGGTCTCACGGAAGACAGTTTTTCCACGGACTGGGTGGCGGGGCGGGGGACAGCTCAGGCGGCAGTGCGAGCTGTGGGGAGCCATGGGGAGCGGCAGATGCAGCTTCGCTCACTCGCCCACCTCTCACCTGCTGTGCGGCCCCGGTTCTTAACGGGCCTCGGACAACAGTCCACAGCCCAGGGGTTGGGGACCCCTGCTCTACTCTATATCTAGGCCCCAGAACAGCACATAGCTCTCCATAAATTTTATTGAACTTTTGCTCTAGTTGTATTATCAGTATCCTCATTCTGCATGCTGAGGTATTTTTTTTATTTAAAACCTTCCCTGATTCCAGAGTGTGAAATAGAAGCTCTCCATCTCAGTTGAGGGGAAAATAATTCTTGAATTAAGATCATAAAGATCACCTAGATTCAATTTCCAAATTTGCAGGTATAGAAACTGACATGACACGGAGAGGGTTTAACTGTCAAGCATCAGCATCTAGAACCAGTCGGTCAGGCCCCCTGACTACGTGCCCAGTCCTTCCCCACTCTGCTGCCTCCTCGGATTCTTCCATCACCAGTCTTCTCATCTAAACCGTGCTGCCGGGGTCATCCCTCTAATTCCTCAGTGAACTCTGCCTTAAATACACTGGAAGAAGAAGTGGTAGAGCTTAATCTGCTATGAACTTTGTTTTTGTTGTTAACCCTGTAAACTCACAGGCTAATGGACTTCTCATTGCAGTGGCTTCTCTTGTTGCAGAGCACGAGCTGTAGGCACATGGGCTTCAGTAGTTGTGGCTCGCGGGCTCTAGAGCACAGGCTCAGTAGTTGTGGGGTACGGGCTTAGTTGCTCTGCAGCATGTGGGATCTTCCTGGACCAGGGCTAGAACCCGTGTCCCCTGCACTGGCAGGCAGATTCTTAACCACTGCACCACCAGGGAAGTCCCAACAGTGCATTTTTTAAAGATCTTTTTTCCTCTCCCCAGAAAAGCACTTGGTCCTGCTTCGAGATGGAAGGACGCTTATAGGCTTTTTAAGAAGCATTGATCAATTTGGTACGTATTAGTCATGGACTTCTCCTGTACTCTGGATAATAAGAGCTGCCCACTGTATTTTTGTGTTGTTTCATATCGAAGTTTATTTGTCTGCAACTTTTTTCACGTGTCTGGCATAATGGAATATAAGTTTGAATCATTACATCATTGTTTTCTAAATTACAATTAGGTGGTTCAAAAGCTTGTGTTTACAAGCTTGTATTTCTAAAACTGGTTTTCACTAGAACATGTGCTGACAGTGTTTTGGACTATTTTTTATTTTCCCCATTAGAGGGAGCCAGATGATAGAAATAAACTCAGTCCACTGAAAAAGCTGCTCATTTGTACATTGGCTTGGGTGTGACTACTCTTCAAAGCAGTTCCTGCCCTGAAGGTAATCCCTCCCTGTCCAATGAAAAGTGGGTCAGAGGCCTTTGCTGAAGCTTTTCAGGGACCCCCAACATTAAGCTCAGGATTTTATACCTTGGGATACATTAGACTCAAGGTCTTGGTCTTGGTTTTGCCTCCTGCATTTTTCTAAGGAGACCTTATATTTGCTTCTGTCTTAAGGAACTTCTCAGTTCATATCAGCATTTGCTGGACATCTGCTTAGGTCAGTGGCTTTGGGCCTGAGGAAAAACAACATAATTGAAACACATGTAAGAATTATAGATGATAAGAGCACAGATACCGCGTTTCTTCACATAAGACAAACAGCACCAATTGGAAGAGGAAAAGGAATTATTCTTCACAGATTGTGGTTCTAAACCTTAAGTCAAATTCATCAGAGCACATGAGGGAAAAGTGGTAAATAGTGGCTTTACTCTCAGATTACCAGATTATGGTTATCTGACAAAGGGAAAAAATAGGTTACCGTTATATCATAATCCATGAATACCTACATTAGGTTAAATGAATCCTAAGTACTGAAACAAAGTTAAATCTTCGGTAAATCATCACACACACATACCCACGCAACATAGAAAAACGGTTTCCTTCCAAATAAACCCAGAGTTTTAATTTCTGTAGTTGTTTGGGCTTTAGAGTTTTCCAAGTGCCCTGTCATTTATATTTTCTTATAGCCATGTTGTTATTAGCAACTAACTCATAAGGAATTTAATTTTCTTCATTTATTTCCACTATCCTCCTTATTAGTGCAACATAATCCCAAATACTCTCTCAGTTTGCAGTTGTTTAAAAGTCTCCTAAGTGGTTTGTCTCAATGTAATAGGAAGAGATTGTTTGAAATTTTAGCTTTTTCCAGAACTAGAAAGTTTGAAAGTCATGTTCAGCTAAATCTTTTCTACTCAAAATAACTGATTGAGTAATGGACCTTTACCTATAAAGTAATTTGAACTAAATATCTTTGTTTCTTCCCTGTACACTTATAGCTAACTTAGTGCTACATCAGACTGTGGAGCGTATTCATGTGGGCAAAAAATACGGTGATATTCCTCGAGGGATTTTTGTGGTCAGAGGAGAAAATGTGGTCCTACTAGGAGAAATAGTAAGTGAAAACTGTTAAGCTGCTATGGCTCTTGATAATCATGCCAGTTAGGTTTCTTTTTTGTCTTTTCAAGAAGGAAAAAATATATTTTCCACCTTCACCCAGCTTCTCAAGGAAACCACCCAATTAGCTTAGGAAAGCTACATTGTAAAAGGAAAGCTACAGAGAGCAATTAACTTTGTTTCAGTGCCTCCTGGCATTTTAAAGATTTTGATCCCATTAGCAGCAAAATACCATTGATTTTTACCTGATATCATAAAAAATACTGTCCTACATGGGAATTCCCTGGCAGTCCAGTGGTTAGTACTCCCGATCTCACTGCCAAGGGCCCGGGTTCAATCCCTGGTTAGGGAACTAAGATGCCACAAGCCACACGGAGCAGCCATAGATATATATATAAATATATATATGTAAATACTGTCCCACACAAATGTGTTCGTTAGTATGTTGTTATTGTATCTCTAATAGCAGAAAATTAAAGCTTGATACCTAACAGAAGAATAATTCAATGAAATGTGGCTTGTTAACACTGGAATATTTTGCAATCATTTAAACAATTGTTTACAAATGGTTTTTCATGACATAAAGGTAATTAGTGGTGTTTGGGGGAAAGACACACTGCATATACAGTGCGATATCTATGTTTTTTAAAGCGGGGAGGGGAAAGAATGGCTGCGGAAGAAGCCTTTCTGTTAACTTTCCGAGGATGGGCTCAACTTCACTTGCATACTTAGCTCCCAGCCAAGGAGGAGAGGTACCTGTTATCTGTTGTCAGGAAAGCCAGCTGGCAGGTGAAAAGTTAAATCCTCTAAAGTGGTGTTACTGTAGGTCTATGTGTCTGTGTGTGTGAACTATTAGAAAACTCTTACCCCAAAATATATATTAGAAGTACTCAGACATTTTTAAAGAAAATAAAACTTGATTTCACATTTTACATGAGACACATTTACTCTAAAAGAAAAGTACTTTATTTAATACCTTTGACTCGATCCTCATGCTTCTGATTATTGGGTTTTCCAGGAAAATCAAACCTTGGTGTTTGCTTGATTTTATCTTTAAAGTTTTCAGTAAAGTTTCCCAATCCCTAGCCACATCTTAAATCACGTTTACAGGAGTCTTTGGAGTGAAGTAGTTTGGTCCGTAGCTGTTTTTAATGGTAGACCATTTGACAAAGTAAAGAGGTAATTTTGCCAGGGTCATGTTCGTTCAGAGACCTCATGTCGGAAACAGCTAGAAACAACTAATCAATACTGTCCAAGTATTGCTATGAAATAACTTTTTCTAATTTTAAAAATATAGTTGTGGTTGATACTTTTGGTTTCGATGTATGTTTAAGCAGCAGGAATTGTCACCTCTTTGTTTTAAAGAGGAAATGTATTACTTTGCTGTGGGGGGAAAGATTTAAGTTAAAATATCCACGCATACTGTGCTTCAGTTGTACAGTAGTAAACACCACATCCATGCTTTCTGTGCCAGTTACATTGGCACAGACATGCCCCTGTGTAGATGTATGTGAAGAGAAGTGAACTTGTGTTTATTCTTGAAGCTTCATTGTTTCCTGGGAGCCCTTTTGTGGAGAAAAGTGCTCTTTTTTTTTGTATGTTATGGTTTGGATGCTGCAGAATTCTTATAGTGGTACCACTAAAGAAATATGGTTCAGGAAATGCTTACATAGTTCTATGAATCGGTAGTCAGTTTGAAGACATTATGAACCAATTCTAGGAAAACTCAAACCTAGAAGCCATTTGGATTCTGTAAACATTCAGTTGTTTGCAGAGTCCCTGGATTCTACCTCAAGGATGATGAGACACACAGCCTTAAGTAATAAGCTGATTGTTAGGAAACAGCATTATCATAACCACATGAACAGCTCAGCACATAATACTGAAAAGCCCAAGAAGTAGTACACTAAGCCAAGAACATTATCTTCCCTCCTGCTGCCCATGGGTTGTGAGGGAAGATTACACTTGATAATATATATTTTGCTGGATGCAGTTAACTTTTGACCCAGGGCAGGGCTTGCTTATGTAATTTATGTGGCTTTCATTCTAACCTTTCTGGTGAGAGTCCTCCATCTGCTGTGTCACTGCCTGCGGGTTCCGAGGCCTTAGCAGCATCTGAAGATAAGTATCCAGTGGTCGGCTGGAACGTCTGGAGAGTTTGTGTATGTGTTGATGCCTTCCCAGAATTCTATAACTAAAAGTCAGAGAGGAGGATGAGAAATAAGAATGCCCTGTCGGTATAGGCTTTCCATGTGACTAAAACACAGAGCGACACCTGTGTACTCAAGGAGAGTGAACTGAGTCTGTAGGTAGATAATTTTTTTGTTTTGTTTTGTTTTTGTGTGTTTTTGTTGTTGTTGTTTTGCGGTACGCGGGCATCTCACTGTTGTGGCCTCTCCCGTTGCGGAGCACAGGCTCCAGACGCGCAGGCTCAGCGGCCATGGCTCACGGGCCCAGCCGCTCCGTGACATGTGGGATCTTCCCGGACCGGGGCACGAACCCGTGTCCCCTGCATCGGCAGGTGGACTCTCAACCACTGCGCCACCAGGGAAGCCCTGTAGATAGATAATTTTATAGCAAGGTTCTGCATTATAAAATTGGTTATCAGATGTTTAGAAGGTGTTCAAAAATAAAAATATTAAGCATATTATGCCATATTAAGTGGGAAAAGTAGCCAATATTTGCGAGAAATACATTGGGGCCAAAATGGTTTAGTAACCTAACTGGTCTGCTGAGGTTTTCTCTAGAAGACTTGTTGCCATGAAGGGGGAAGAAGTCCTGTGTTATAATGTAACAACTCCTGGTTAATGCGGCAGAGGGACAGTTTATTGCCTTTGGCCCGGGATGGAGCCAGGACCGGGTGTGGCCCGGGGGGTGAGGGGGGCAGGTGGTGGTGCTACTTTGAATCGGTGTTCTCTACCTTCTTACTGAGCACAAACCCCCAGAAATTAGGCTGACTTTGATCATGTATAAATACAAAATTTATTTTAAGCCATCTTGACCTCAGTACCTTCTTTCTTGGATTCCCTGGGGCTGGGGAAATAGCTGTAAGCAGCCCTAATATTTTTTTTTTTTAAGAGAAGGAGTACTTGTCTAATGTAGGACTTTACTTTGGATACACGAAAGCTTTGTTATACATGCCGATACTGATCCCTGTTAAACCACACTCACATGTGTTCTATAGGAGCATTGCCAGCCATTTCTTTGTAAAATTTATCTGTCCATAGGATATTTCTGCCCTATCTCAAGTACAAAAAATAACCCAAGCTGGATATAGGAATCCATTTAGGAACTGGTTTGCCTTTAGATCTATGATGTTTTCTATTCTTGGTCATCAGGTGAAGTTTTCCAAACCTGCTTGTTTTGTAGGACTTGGAAAAGGAGAGTGACACACCCCTCCAGCAAGTGTCTATTGAAGAAATCCTAGAAGAACAGAGGGTGGAGCAGCAGACCAAGCTGGAAGCCGAGAAGCTGAAAGTCCAGGCCCTGAAGGATCGAGGCCTGTCTATCCCTCGAGCAGATACTCTTGATGAGTATTAAGTCTTCTGCTCAGAGGCTGTAGCTCTTGGGGAGCAGGGGCTGTCACCAAACCAAGTGACACATTTGACGAGGGACTGCAGAGCTTTGAAAAGTCATTTTTATTTGGAATTCTTTCACATATGCAACGTGAAGAAATCGTGCGTTTTGTTTCGGTTTTTTTAATAACAAAATCATTTAAAGAAACAGTGGCATGGACTCCTTTCACACGTCACTGTGGAGCCAGCAACTACTTCTTTATATTGCTCTTCTCCCCCCAAATTAATGGTTACAGGGAATATTCTTCATTTGCTTGTAAATAAAATATGAATCTCAAAATTGCAATGTTATTATTTCCCAAGTTTGAGTTGCCTTCAGTGAATAGTCATTAAATTTCTGCTATCAAAGGTATAAGCAGTCCATACACACACATGCTGGGATCTCCCTTCTGTCACAATTCCAACCTACTAGTTACTTATGAAGGAATATTTTCATACCAGATATCCTGTGGGTTCTCCTTTCTCCCCTTGTCATGTTTTTTTCTGATAAGAAAAACAAGTTTTCAGGCTTGAGGAGGGCTCTCTCCGTGAAGTTTTGCACTTACTGATTATAAGAGAAGCTGGTGTTTGTTTGAGAAGCAGCTGTTTGCTTCACCAACAGCTATCCCAGCTGCGTTTCCGAGATCACATAACGGACTTCTCTAAATATTGTTAATTTCGTTAGGTTTTCTAGTCCTTTCGGTTGAGTCTTGAGCCTCCTATGCTGTGATCAAAAAGCACAGATAAAATCGTGTTGCAGTGACTGATATATCTAGGTTATTCTCAGCCAAGCCAAGTGATGCCCCTTTTCTGGAATGATGTTGATCACACAGGAAGCGTAAGAGGCTGTACTTTCCGAAACCTGGACTCTGTTCTCTCTAGCACCTTGGGCTCAAGCAAGTCACTTATCCTCCCTGATTCTCAGTTTTAACTGTAAAACTATTCCAGATACTTATTTTATAGTCTGTTGAGCAAAGACATTCTTTGCAGGGAAGATATTTATAGCCAATTCCTATGTTTGAGCTATTTTATAGTATTAAATATACCACATTTTATGAGCTCAGGTGTTTTTAAAACTGCGCCAAATGCAGACTTCTGAGCTATTCATCATTGGGTTGGTTTCAAGGTAGCTAATTTGTGAAGAACCGTCGCACTTCATGATTTATCTAGTGTGTTTCATCTCTAACCTTACTGTTGAATAGCCGGAATTTGTTATTAACTTCCCACACAAAGGGAAGACTTGTGGAAGAGGTGGCTAACTTTCACTACAAGAAGATGTTCTTGGAGAGTCAGCAGAATTACAGCATTCTGTAAGCATTCTGCACCTTCAAGAGATTCGGATTCACTGTACTCGTCTTTTCAACCTCCTTCAAACAGAATTCCAAATGCAATCAAAAGAGTCATGGTTCAAAGGAGAGAATTTCCACAGTAGTTCAGGAATTTCCAAGCCATAGCTGGGCTTCAGTTGTTATGCGTAATAACATATTGCCTTTAGACCTTTGTCACACAGGCAGCAGCAAAGAGAGCTGAAGGGTGGAATGAGACTCCCTGCTTCCCTCCTGTTAGTCTCCCTGCTGCTCAGAGCAACGGCCTGCCCTCAGCTTTGCCCAGTCCAGGCTTTTTGCAGGTACTGAAATCATGCTTTTTTCCTGGACCACTGCAGGTACTCCTCTACTGTTAATCAGGCTTCAGAATCAATCTCAGTTCTATACCTTTGTTTTGTCTTTAATAGTTTCTTCCAATAGAGGTTCCCATGAGACCACTTTCAAGGAAAACAAACAAACAAGGAAGGCCTACTGCAGCCCCTTTCCTGGCGATCTTTATTCTGATGTAACTGGGTACAGCAGCCTCTCTCTCCCTCTCCCAGCTGTTCTTTTCCCCTTTCCTTGGCCCTTGACCTTACGTCGCATGTTGTCGGCTGAATTTAAGCCACAGTATCTGCTCTCCCACCCTGCTCAGATAAACTCCCAACAGGCCCTGGATACTTAGCAGAACCAGATGCCCTCACGCTGCCATTGTGCAGGGCTTCTCAGGGATCCCACATCAGCATGAACCCCAGGGTATGACACAGATGTGATGGCTGGAGAGTGGCCTCAGTTTTGCTCACAGGAGTATGGGTGGCAGGTCAGGCAGAGCGAGGTACAGACGGCAGACGGTGCAGGCCAGCAGGCAGAGCAGATGCAGCAGGCTCTGGACGAGGCCGGAATTTCCTGTTCTCTCTGCTTAGGACATACTTGTCCCAGATAACTGCAAGAATCCTTCCCTCACGACCTGTTTTAAATAGCACACCTCCCCCCTCCCCCCACCTATATCCTTGGCAGCTTTGCTTTTCACCAGAGCAAGTATCGCAATCCAACATAAGTTGCACTTCTTTACTGTCTGCTCCACTCCCCCACTAGAATGTAAACCCTTAAGGACAGAATTTTTGTCATGTTCACTCCTGTAGTCCCACATCTAGGATGATACCGGGCATATATCAAGTCTCAGTACATATTTTTGGGGTTGAGGGATGGGTTGATGGACAGATGGATGGATGGGGAATGCAGTGAATTCAGGCTGGTCAGATAAGATGCTTCAGAGACCAGTAATGCCTCAAAGGATGAGGACGGCAGGACTCACCGAGCATCCCGGAGTGGAGTGATTAGCAGAGATCCTTACACTGAATGTGGAGATGTTCTCTTACTGCCCTCACTGGAGACCACAGCCCCCCAGGCATGAAGAGTCTGGAGATGATTGGTGTGCCAACGTCTGGAAGAGCATCCCAGGGAAATGGGGTTGGGGGTGGGGGAGGACTTGTCAGGGTTGCTGGAGGCAACAGATACTCTTCAGTCTGTGTTCCTCCCAACTGCAGTGCCCCACCTCCACCTTGCATATTACCCCTTTGGGGATAAAGAGCAAGAGACTGCTTCATGGGTGCTTGCTTTTGCCAGCGAAGCAGGTTTTGTATCTAGTTAAGTGACCCAAGACCTCCTAGCCTGAAAGAATTAGGAAACCCACCCTAGAAAATGGCACGTACCTACCTGTCCCAAAGCTTTGGGGCTGTCCACCCTGGTTCACACTCCCCTAGCTGTCTACTCCTCCAGCTCTGCCAGGGCTCCTTGGGAGCAGAAAATAAAATCAAGTCCTCTTTTTTTCTCGTGTCTCACTTCACTGCTTTGCCTCTTCTCAACCTCCTATTTTGTACCTATTCTCCTTTAAAAAAAAAAAAAAAATTTTTTTCCCCCTAACTTCAGACATTGAGCAGCGGTTGCTGCAGGACCCAGGGGTAGAAAATGGTCTCAAATGCTGCTGCTCTGGAAACACAGAGCATTGAGTGGTGTCAGAGCACCAGCCGGCCAGCAGCTAGAACCACAAGGAAGAGAGAGGGCCCAGTGCTGGCCGTATCCAAGGTCAGAAACCCAGATTGCCTGGGAATTCATCCCTAAGACCCAGTTTTATTGACGAATACGTTTGCATACAGTAAAATTCACTCTTTTTAGTGTACAATTCTGTGAGTTTTAACAACTGCATATAGTTATATCACCATCACCCCTGCCCCTGTGAATTTAACTTCTCCCTCCTTCCCCAGCCCCTGGCAACCACTGATCTGTTTTCTGTCCCTACAGTTTGTGTTGGCAACTAATTCAAAATTTTCTAAAAATAGTGTGCAGGTCAAATAAAATATCTGGGAAGTTCAACTCAGCCCACCTGCCTTCAGGTTGCTCTTCTGGTTAGGCTATTACAGAAGACAGAGAGCTTTAACTGTGGCCCCTGCCAACGTCCCTGGCTCACCTGCTGGAAACAGGCAGACGAGGACAAGGGAACCAGTGTAAGGGGATAGCTGGGCATGCTGAGCATCACCCTGAGATTTGTCAGGCATGAGAGGCAAATATGGGCCCTTTCTTTTCAGAGAGAAACAGGAGATTTTAAAATGTGAAGAGCACACAGGCATAAAAAAGAATGAAATAATGCCATCTGCAGCTACATGGATGGACCTAAAGATTATCATACTAAGTGAAGTAAGCCAGACAAAGATAAATACCATATATCACTTATATGTGGAATCTAGAATATGACACAAATGAACTTATCTACGCAACAGACACAAACTCACAGACATAGAGAACAGACTTGTGGTTGCCAAGGGGGAGGCGGGTGGGAGAGGAATGGAGTGGGAGTTTGGGATTAGCAGATGCAAACTATTATACAGAGAATGGATAAACAACAAGGTCCTACTGTAGAGCACAGGGAACTATACTCAATATCGTGTAATAAACATAATGGAAAAGACTATGAAAAAGGATATATATATGTATGTATGTATAACTGAGTCACTTTGCTGTACAGCAGCAACTAACACAACACTGTAAATCAACTGTACTTCAATAAAAAAAAAAAAAGGTGAAGAGCACAGGCTGTGCGTCCCGGTTTCTTCACTTCAGAGCTCTCCGAACTTGGTCCCACGGCACCTCTCAGCTCCTTGTCTGTAAAATGGGGATCTAATAGCACCAGCTCTTTGGGTGGTGGTAAGGAGTGAGTGAACACGTGTGAAGAGCTTAGAGCCGCCCCTGGCTCAGAAGCGCTCCACGCCAGCCGTTATCATCTGCTGAGTCCCCCCAGCCTCATGGGATGCCTTCCCTCCCCTCACTGAGCCTACACTTAGTCTCCTCTGTACAAGTAAGAATGATAACGGGGCTTCCCTGGCGGTCCAGTGGTTAAGACTCCGTGCTTCCAGTGCAGGGGACGTGGGTCCGATCCCTGGATGGGGAAGTTCTGCATGCCACGTGGCGCAGCCAAAAAAAAAAGAGTGATAACGGCAACCAACTCAAATTGAGGAATTAAGTGCTGGATTACATAAAATGTTCTCCGGGGTTCCCTGGTGGCGCAGTGGTTAAGAATCCGCCTGCCAATGCAGGCAACACGGGTTCGAGCCCTGGTCCGGGAAGATCCCACATACCGCGGGGCAGCTAAGCCCGTGCGCCACAGCTACTGGGCCTGCACTCTAGAGCCCACGAGCCACAACTACTGAAGCCCGCGCGCCTAGAGCCCGTGCTCTGCAACAAGAGAAGCCACCGCAATAAGAAGCCCACGCACCGCAACGAAGAGTAGCCCCCGCTCGCCGCAACTAGAGAAAGCCCACGCACAGCAACAAAGACCCAATGCAGCCAAAGATAAGTAAATAAAAATAAATTTATTAAAAAAAATATTCTGTGAAGGGAGGTAATCCATAATGACCTCAAGCCCAATGAGTTAAACTTGCCTTAACTTTCTGCTGCCCTCTCACAATGGCCCCTTTGGGGGAAAACACTCCACTCTTTAGATATTAAATAAGCACATACCCTATAAGCAGGAAGGAAGAGCTGGAAGAAGATCAGTACTTATTGATAATCTACAAAGTGCCAGGCTCCATGCTTCCCAATCATTTACTAAACATTTATTCAGTATCTATTAATTATCTAGCACTGTGCTAAGTGCTGGGGAATCAAGAATTTGGAAAGGATCCACGTCCTCATGGCGTTTACAGGGCCTTATGGATGGAGCTCACAGACACGGAAAGAGGGGGGATCTACAGGTGCGGGGGCAGAGGGTCTACGGGAAATCTCTGTTCCTTCCTCTCAGTTTCTCTGTGAATCTAAAACAGCTCTTAAAACAGTCTTTTAAAAAAGGTGTGTGTGGGGAACGCGTAACAGTCTTATTGTTACTGTGATCAATGTCTGTCGGGGGAGGCCCAAAGGTATTGAATTCTAACTAATGAGTAGGGGGACGGGGTGCCCAAAGGGAAGCCTTTCAGGGAGTAACGCTGTGAGCTGCCATGAACGTTGAGGGCATCTCGGGAGCGCGCTGAGCTGGGCGAGATGAGAAGGGTGGCTAGGGGGAGTCGCGAGGGCCCAGACACTGGCTGAGAAGTCGGGGCTTGGTCCTGAGGGCTCTTGATGTATTGTTACCTGATTCAAGCCTTATAACCACCCTGAGAGGATTACACAAAGAAAAAGGAAAAGAAAACATACTGCTATTTTATAGATGAGGAAGTTCAGACTGAAGTGAGGGGCTCCCAACCATAAAGTAAGTGGTGGGAGTGGGATGGGAAGTCTGTCTGAACTTGACCTCTGTGCTTTCTGCCCTCCAGTCCACAGCTTCCCCACACGCCCAAGGTCGAAGGCCGCTGGCGATGCCCAGTACTCACCTCCTTGGGGCCGGGCCACACCAGCTCCAGGTCCCCTCCTCAACTCCCGGCCTCTGCTTCCCGGGAACCTGCGGAGGAATCTTCCCACGCCCACCCAGCTGGCTCTGACCTCTGCCTCTCTCTCCAGCCTTGACTTCCCTCCGCGCCCTACGAACATTCCACAGCTGACCCCTCAGATTTCCACCCCCCCCCACCGCCCGCTCCATGCTCTACCTGGAGCGCCTGGCCCCCAGCCCCTCTCCCACCTGGCTGACTCCTTCCTAATCTGACTTCCCCCCAGAAGCACCCCCTTCCTCCTCCTGTGTCGTCAGGTGCTCCCTCCTCTGTACTTTTTTTTTTTTCCCTCCTCTGTACTTCTGAACCTCTTCATCTGCCCTACAGCTCCCCATAGGGGGTCACATGGTTTGTTTTCCCCTGTAACTGTAGAGCTACACAGTGGACACTCATCAAAGGATTGTTGAGTGAATGAGTGGGGTCCTCCCTCCCCGGCCCTGGGCCTTCCTGTCCAGCACCCTGCATGGCCTGGGCCGCATCTCTTCCCTCCTGGCCTGCGGTGCCCTCTGGTCTCCACCCTTGGGGGCTCTGCCCTCATCCAAAAGCAAAGCCAGACACAGAGGACTTCCAGAACCAGAGGGAATTCCCAGACCTCTCTGCCTACCTTCCTGCTCAGAGGGACCGTGAGAGTTAACAAGGCGCTCAGCCTGCAAAGGCTGAGGAAGAGAACCTTGGCCCAGGAGGAGGTCACCAGCACCCCACACCCATCCCAGAGTCAGTGGCAGGCTCTGACATCAGCAGAAGCCTGTGCCCCGATCCTGCAGTCTCCCCATACCACCTCCTCCCCGTCACGACGGCCATAATTCTCCCCACGACAGCAGTGGCAGGGCCTTGAACGTGATCTGCCCGGCCTGTCCCATGGTAACCCCTCCCCTCCCCACCGAGAGGCACGTGTGCACGAGGGCGCACGTGGGCCAGGACGGAGGAGAAGCCTGGGGCGGCTGGCCTGCTGCCTCCCCCCACCCCCCGCCGCCCCCAAGCCGGGCCCTCTGACCTCTTTCCACGCCACTGGCTCGGGCTGGAGACAAACAAGAGGCCAAGGTTCTCCCTCTGGTGCCAGCTTCCCTGTGACTCTGAGAGGGCTGGAAACAAAGCCCACAGGCAGCGTTCCTAAGTCAGAGTCAGCTCCCCAGCTGCTCCCTGTAGAGAAGGAGCAGGAACCTGCCCTGAGCCGCCGCCGCGGGGAGCTGAGCACTGGGAGGGCAGGGGAACCAGCCCCAGAGAGGAGACAGCAAACATGCGCACGCCATGACACAAATCAGGACCGAGACAGCCCCCCTAGGGGGACCCACAGTAAGGGACAAGCCAGTTTCAGAAGGCTGGGTAGTTAAGGCCTCACAGCTCATGCGGGCGGCGGGGGCAGGGTCCCTGGAGGGCGGGCCGGGCCGCCAGGCAGCCACTGCTCGGAGCGGGGGCCGGGACAGGCATTTCTCCGGGTCGCTGGCCGCATCCCACTGTGCCAGCACGGCCTGAAGGGGGCGTGTGGGACTCACCTGTTCCCTCTGGACACTAGGCACTCGGCCTGGCTCCAGGCAGGTCCTGTCCGTTTCGTCCTTTCTAGAGTGAGGGGGACAGCAAGACCTGGTGGGGGCCCTTCCCTCCATCTCCGTGCAGTGGTGACAGGACACGCAACTCTCTCACCTGGGGGGCAGGCCCAGGCCCAGGGCCAAATTCTATGTGATTCTCTCGACCCCCAACCTTCTTGCCAGGTGAATCTAGCTCAGAAGCAACCTCAAGGTCAACCTTAAGAGGAAAAGATGTCATTGGAGACCAGCATGCAGACTGGAATGAGATCCCCCTCACTGGGCCTGGACCGGAGCATGGGAACTGCAGAGGAGAGACTGGGCCTCTCGCGAGTCCCCGTTCAGACCACAGGGCCCCCCAAAGTGGAAAGACTGGGCTGGGCACCCCAATACCCTGTCTTTTGAACCTTTCAGCTCATGCCAGGCCCTATGGCACAGCCTGGCCAGCCTAGGTTACTCGGGAAAGCGTGAAGAAGGGCGTGGGGCATGGCCAGGCCCAGGCCCCCTCTCTTTGTGTCTCCGGCCCTGTTCTCCCCTCTGCTCTGTGAGCTGACAGGACTCAGCCCTGAGGTGTCATCCTTGCTCCAGAACTAACCCCTGAGACAGGAACTGCCCCTAAACAGGGCTTTGGTAAAGGCTGTTGATAGAAATGGATGCATCAGTAATTGAACACGCGAAGTGTCGGGGGGCGGCAGGAGGAGCCGTGAAAAGATGGGACCTGCCACCGACCAGCTGTGTGACCTTGAACAGCTCATTTCCACCGTCAGTTGAAATGCACAATGTGAGAGCTGTGACTTTTCAGTTTTGTTTGGAGACTTACCAAGGACTGTAACAGGAGCCAGCCTCCCAGCTCTGAGGAACTGCTCTGAAGCATGTGTGAGTTACGTGAAGAGGGTATGTGCAACCAAGCACATGTCTCAGGAGAAGGTTGCCGCTAGTCACAAGGAACAGGTATCTCATTTAATGATTTTAGTGCTTTATTAAGCAAGGGAAGATGCAAGAGTCCGGGTTCACAAAAGTTTTCTCCTGAAAATCTCTAACTACCTGAGGGCCAGTTCTGCCAGTTTTCCCAGAGCACGGTCTTCGCCCTGAAGTCCTTTTAGGGGTAACTATAGGTCAGCGACTGCAGGGGCTGTAGAACTGGATGATGGGCAACATTCCTCAGTTGGCAGTACCCTCCCCTTGGTCATAGTTTTGACCAAGGTTTAGGAGGCATTTCATGACCAATTTGTCCCACGGCGCTAGGAAGGCTCATTCTTAGGTCTGGTGAGGATTTCGCTGATATAGGCCACTCAATGTGCTGTTACTGAACTAGGCCCATAATAGTCTTACTAGTCTGTTATAGTTTCCCTCTTACTGGAAAATACAGGAATAGTTTCCCTCTTACTGCTTCTTCCCATATCTAGGGTTACACTATTACAATCATTGATCTTATGTAGAACTATTTATCTGGTTAATCAAGTCGCCTAGTTGTCATTATTTTCATTGGAGGGTCCTATATAGGTTGGAGAAAATCCTTTAAATGATATATTTTCTAGTATATGTAATCTTGTTACAGGTCATGAGGCATCTGATCTTCATCCAAGGATTACTGTGATAAGCTCCAGAAACAAACTTACAATGTCCTTTTAATAATTCAATTAAACTTCACAATAATGTAACAAGGAGCCAACAAAAGAAGTGAGCCCTGGGCACTAAGTACAAACTTGGAAGACAATTGACAACATTAGAACTTAATATCCACTAGAACTTTTTTTTTCTCTAAAATCACCTTCATTTCTACCAAATATAGCCCAATTAAGGCTAATTTGTTTGCAAAATAAACTTGGCCTGATTATTTACATAATGTGTAATTGATTATATAGGCTCTTTTAAATTGTTTTTCCTGGAACTTTTCATAAGGAATTTCAGATTGAACTTTTAAAAGGCCTCTCAAGTTGAGCCAGGAAAGCCATGCCAAGGGCTTGCCATTAGATTCCGCCACAATAACTATAGATTTGGGTGAATTCCTCTCTTCTCAAGGTCTCCAAAATACCTTGACATTCTTGTACCTGCCAGGAGTTGACCTTCCTTATTCACCTGATAAGGCTACTGGGAACCTGAAAGCTTCCACTTTCTGGAGGAATCAAGTAGAAAGAAAAGATAAATGTTTCAGTTCTGCTTACAAAGGTCTAATTTACCAAGCTGCTATAAGTCATACTTAGCTTAAGGTTTCCTTATACCTAGAAAACAAAGATTAAAAGCCAGTAATACTTCTGACAAAAAAATCATAAAAATTATAACCATATTCATCAGTTATCAGTCATATATAACTAATGTTTTTTAATAAATTTATTTACTTTTGGCTGCGTTGGGTCTTCGTTGCTGTGCACCGGCTTTCTCTCGTTGCGGCGAGCGGGGGCTACTCTTCGTTGTGGTGCGCGGGCTTCTCATTGCGGTGGCTTCTCTTGTTGCGGAGCACGGGCTCTAGGCATGCGGGCTTCAGTAGTTGTGAAACGCAGGCTCAGTAGTTGTGGCAGACGGGCTTAGTTGCTCTGCAGCATGTGGGATCTTCCCGGACCAGGGCTCAAACCCGTGTCCCCTGAATTGGCAGGCGGATTCTTAACCACTGCGCCACCAGGGAAGCCCTGTAACTAATCCTTGATCTTGATTCTTTAACAGTTTTATGAAGCCATCAGGGTTTCCACTAGAATTCTTTAATTTCTTACCCAGTTCAGTAGTTAGTTCCCAATTAAGTAAGTACTTGTAGGATAAGTTCCGTATGTATTTTACATCAATCTGGCTGGGGTGTTAGTCAGAGCTTGGCTTTCTGACACCCCTTAGTTGGCCTAATTGAGGAAAGACATTTGGCCAGCCTCACACCTAGTCCAGACCATTCAGTGTCTTTCTGGAGGCAGAACTGGGCGGGGCGGGGGGCACTCCCCCAGTATCTTTCAACTGGGTGTCAGGTACCTGTTATACACCACCAAATAAAACTCAGGATTACCAACCAATTATTGGGAGATCTGAGAACCAGGAGAAACTCACCCAAATTCGTCTGGACTCGCTGAGGAGGTGGATGGGAATAAAAGGCCCTTGCTGCTACCAAGGTTCTGAATCCTCATAGTGTTCAGACAGAGGAGAGAAGTTAGCTCTGTGCTCCTTCACGGTCAGCAAAACTGTCGACTGAAGAAAAACGTACAACAAGAGAGCTGTGAGTTTCAGTTCTATTGGGGGACTTACTGAGGACTATAGCCTGGGAAACCCTCGCAGATTCTGAGGAACTGCTCTAAAGAGGGAGAGGTACAGGGGACGCTGGCTTACGTGTGATTTAGGGGAAGGGTACCTGCACTCAAGCACACATTTTGGTAGAAGGTTGCTCCTGGTCACAAGCAACGGGTTTCTCCGTTCATGACTTTAGTGCTTTTCTAAGTATGAGAAGATGTAAGAATCCAGATTCCTAAGAACTTTCTAAAGCATTATAAGATTGGTAACTGTCTAAGGGCTCACTTTGCCTGTTTCCCCAGAGCACAGTGTGCCTCATCCTGATCACCTTCCTCAAGTCCTTTCAGGGTGTCCTGTAGGTCAGCGACTGCAGGGGCAATGACTCGATTCTTGCAGAACCGGCTGGTGGGGGGGGGGGGAGCGCCGTTCCTCCCGAGGCTTCGGGCCCCTCATGCTGGGGCTGGGTGGCCTCTGCCAGCTCTGCCTGCCTGTACCCTATCAGAAGCCCTGGGTGCTATCCCAGGGCAGAGCTTCTCAAAGCCTAGTGTACAGTTCACAGAATACCTTCATGGCCATCACCGGGGAAAATTTTTTTTAAATACAGGTTTCAGAGCCTCAATTCTAGACTTGTTAAATCTGGAATTTCTGAGCATGAGGGCTACAAAGCTGCATTTTAAACAGCTGCTGCTCGAGAACCACTGTCACATGTGCATACTTTTCTCTAAATTGCCTTGACCTCTGCTGCTCCTTTTTTTCTCTCCCCTCCATCCAGCCTGGTCAGGCACCAGCCTCCCAAGCCCTTCCCCCACCCCCACCCGCACTCCCCGCAAATGGCCAAAGGCTCCTTGTGAGGCAATCGTCCTATCCTTGGTGCCTTCCTTTACACGATGAGTGATGACTTTTTTATCTCCTGATGATGAAACACAGCCTTCAGCTGGAGGCATTTAAGGCGCAGGACGCACGGTCCGGCCGCGGCTGCAGGACCGAGGCCAACCCTGACGGCCCAGGAGAGGAGCCAAAAGCACCACCACCAGCCTCCACGCCTGCCCCACCACCAAGGAACCATGCTCCTCGCCACGTTTAAGCTGTGCGCCGGGAGTTCCTACCGACACATGCGCAACATGAAGGGTGAGCTCCTGGGGCCCCCCTGTCCGGCCGACCAGGAGCCCGCAGGCAATGTCTAGTGGGGAAGGTGTGGGCCTGGGGGGACAGGCCACTCAGGTCCCAGGGGTGCCGCTCACTGGGGGAGCCTGTGCAAGCCTTTCCCCTCCCGTACCTCAGTGTCCCCCATGCTGAAGAACGCAGCTGGATACGAAGGTTCCTGGGTGCCTTGCAGACTCTGTCGTCCCCGGCCTCCCCTCCAGTGCTCCGAGCTGTCTTGGCTTCTTCCTGACTCTGCCTGTCTCTAGAATGGGTACCAAGGGTGCCAGGGAAGTCCGAGCCGTGGTGGCAGAGGCAGGAGTCAGCCTGGACTCCAGGAAGCTGTGTTGGCAAGCCTGAGGCAGGGCAGGCGGGAGACGGGGCGAAGGACAAGAAAGGGGAGTAAGACAGCCGAGGAGCACTCAGAGAGGGAAGGTGGGTGAGGTGGGGAGTCTCGCTGTCATCAGTCAGGAGGCGGAAACCAGGGTCACTGGAGTCAGTCCGCTGCTGTCACCGTCACTGAAGGGACCACAGACAAACCTAAGCAAGTCCTTTCTAATTACATTGGGTTCAGGTGGCCACTGTTTAGATGGAAGCCGCACTTGGAAGACCTGTACCCGGCGTGGGGCTGTTCTCTCTACATCAGCGGGAACCCCCGGGCACACGGAGCAGTTACTCACGCAGAGGCCACACAGACCTCAGGGGACGGGTGTCTGTAATTCCCCTTCTGTAGCAGGATAGGTTGTTCAAAGCTTCTCTCCCTTTCAAGAAGGAAACTTCAGCAAGCTTGAGTGTGGCCCTGCCTCCAGGCCCGGCCAGCCCAGAAGGCAGGCAGGTTTCTGGCCCTGGAGGTATTCCTCATCAAGTCACTTTCTGCCCCAGGCCAGCTTCCTCCTCTGTGATGAGACGAAGGGGTGGAATATTCTCTGAGGGACTTTTCTGCTCCTAAGCAACAGTATCCCTCCCTTCCCTGCAGGGCTGAGGCACCAGGCTGTGCTGGCCATCGGCCAGGAGCTGAACCGGAGGGCCCCGGGGGGCCCGACCCCAGCTGCCTGGATTAACCAGGTTCGGGGTCGGGGCTCTCTGCTCGGTAAGTGCTGAGGCTTCTGGGGCTTCTACCAGCGGCGGGAGGCTCCGGGGGGGGGCGGGCAAACGATGTGCATGTAGCTCTGGTCCCTTCCCCCGCATCCCCCAGGCGTCCTCACTCACTTTGATGGGAATGGCATTGTTCATGGCTAGACCCCCCTCCCTGTCCCCTGTGTCTAACTTAACCTGCAGGCTGGACCATATGGCTTTGGTCTGGGCTCTTCAGAGATGAAAGGGGTGAAAGCTCGTGGGAGGCTAGGAAGCTCAGTCTCTCCGTGGCTTTGTGTCCAGGTTCTCAGCTGGAAGACACTCTCTACAGCGACCAAGAACTGGCCTATATCCAGCAGGGAGAGGAGGCCATGCAGAGGGCCCTGGGCATCCTCAGTGACCAGGAGGGCTGGAAGAAGGAGAGCCAGCGGGTAAGGGCGGGTGCGGAGGAACCCACAGCTCCTCGCTCTTCGCGGGCCATGCTCGAGGCCAGCTGGGGTCTCTGCTCCTCTCAGAAGTCCGGCCTTGTGCAACAGTCACTGGGTAGCAAGCAGTTTTGAGAATTCTCCTTTCCCAAGAATATATCCCCAGATACCCCTCTCCCCCAACAAAGATGTCCTGGAGACTGCGTTTGAGAAACGTTTTTCCTGTATCCCTAGCTCCCCTCCAAAGGCACTGTACACCCATTCAGACCATGCAAAACAGGGACTCCAGGGGCAGCACAGGCCTCATCCCCCTGGGTCAGAAGTTCCAATGCCGAAGCACAGTGTCTGTGCTGTTAGCCCGCCTTATGGCTGACCTCGCAGGGGTGACCTGGGCTCACCTGCAACACGGCTGGACTGGGATACAGGTGGCCCAAGGCCCTCTGGGGGGCTCTGCTCCTGAGCACTGCCCCTTCACTGGGAGCTGGGAACAAGGCGTGTGTTAAAGGCCAACGGCTCTACCGACTTTGGCGGCTTTATCTTCACCAAAAGCTCACATGCTACCCATTGGCCAAAGTTCAGGTGAGATCTTTCCTTCTCCAAGTTCTCAGAGTTAACAGACTACAAGTTTGCGAGTTGGGAAACCTGGGATCTAGGCCCAGCAATGCTCTTAGCTAAGGGTCCTGGGGCATCTCACTGACCTTCTCTGGCCCTACATCCCTCTGGTGTAAAATGAGGGATTGGACTTTTAAAATAAACCTATGTGTGAAATTAGCTGGTTGTAAACCACCTTCCCTGCTCCCAGATGCGTCTCTCTCAGGATCTTTGAGCTTCTGAAGTCACGTAAGGGCCTTCTCAGGTGGCCCTTACCCACACCCATCAACATTTACACCCAGGAAAAAAGGGCCCAGGGAGCAGGGAGGTCACCTCCCCAGTCCTCAGCAGATGTACGAGGCAGGCAGCAGGAAAGATGACCTCCTCTACCTTAATCAGAGATGGTTCCAGGCTTACTCAGGCTTAGCCTAGAATTCCCCTGGCTGTTCCCCTCCTACCTTGCCTGGCACTGTCTACATATCCTAGACCGGGAACATTTTTTTCTAACCTTTCCCTTGGGGCTCCTCTCTTCCCTGCCGATAGGCGAATGGGGACGAAGTGTTGAGTAAAGTGATCCCAGACGTGGGCAAGGTGTTCCGGCTGGAGGTGGTAGTGGACCAGCCCATGGAGAGGCTTTACGAAGAGCTCGTGGAGCACATGGAGGCCATGGGCGAGTGGAACCCGAATGTCAAGGAGATCAAGGTGGGGAGGCCCAGGCAGAAGGATGGCCACAGCAGTCGGGAGGGGGCTGTGAGCTGCAGTGTGCCTCGGCCCCCCACCTGGCTGAGTAGTGACTCTGGTTCTCTGTGGCCTGGCAGGTCCTGCAGAAGATTGGAAAAGACACAGTCATCACTCACGAGTTGGCCGCAGAGGCGGCAGGAAACCTTGTGGGGCCCCGAGACTTCGTGAGTGTGCGCTGTACCAAGCGCCGGGGCTCCGTGTGTGTGCTGGCTGGCATGGCCACACACTACGGGGAGATGCCCGAGCAGAAGGGCGTCATCAGGTAACACTGGCAGCAGCCTCAAAAGCTCCCTTTTTTAACACAGGCTGGGGACATGCACCTGCCAAGTGTGTGATACATCCCCAGCTCTAAGAAACCAATCCTCGGTTCCTACCCTCAGCTACCTTTCACAGAGGAAGTCTCATTTTCCATTGCAGTGCGGGGAAGACAAGACTGGCCACACTTACATAACCAGTTTGTCCTGACCCTCCCAGCAAGTTTAAGAACCTTAGTAATTTTCTAAAACAAGAAGTAGGGCTGATGGGACAAAGTGAGAGAGTGGCATGGACATATATACACTACCAAATGTAAAATATAAAGCTAGTGGGAAGCAGCCGCATAGCAGAGGGAGATCAGCTCGGTGCTTTGTGACCACCTAGAGGGGTGGGATAGGGAGGGTGGGAGGGAGACGCAAGAGGGAGGGGATATGGGGATATAAGTATACGTATAGCTGATTCACTTTGTGATACAGCAGAAACTAACACAACAATGTAAGGCAATTATACTCCAATAAAGATTAAAAAAAAAAAAAAAGTAGGGCTGAGGTTTAGCTGGTATGCTCAGGTCCCACTGTAATGTTGATTAAAACAGAACCCATACCACTTAGAACAGTTGCTACCTGAGTTTGCCAGGGGCCCTAGCACCACCCTGGACCCTTCCTTGACCTCCCCGTCATCCAGCGACTAAAAGGCACCGCAGGAGGCCTCCAGGCTTCAGCTCCAGCTCCAGTCAGCATTTGTTCTGATGAGCTGGTAACCGTGCCAACTGTTAAATGTCACCCTTGGCAAAGGACACTTCTCTGATGAGATCTGGGAAGACTAGTCAGCGTTTGAGAACTCGGCCTTGTCCCCCTGACCTGACGTGTCTTCACCCGGCAGAGCTGAGCACGGCCCCACCTGCATGGTGCTCCATCCCCTGGCTGGAAGCCCCTCAAAGACCAAACTCACCTGGCTGCTCAACATTGACCTCAAGGTAAGGGGCGCGGTGGGGGGTGCTCGGGACAGGCGGTGGTGAGCAAAGTAGGCTCTTACTGCTCCCACATCATCCCGCACACAACTGGAAAGAGCCTCCATTTTGAGGGAACTAGACCGTTGCAGAGGGGACACTGGAGTGATGGCCTAACTGCTATTCCATCATCTCAGAAGCCTGCACTGACTCCCTCTTACTTCTCATATCAAATTTCAATTCTGTAGTTATTTTTAGAAACAAGGAAACTTAGGCCCAAGAAGGTATGGTAGCTAGCTCAGGGTCACACCACTGGGAAGACAGGGCTGAAATCTGCCTGGACAGCAAATCCTGCGCTTCTGACACGGTCCTGACAGCAGGGCAGTAAAGCAGTCCTCCAGCCCCTGACCCTGATCAACTGAACGGGGGCACGGACCAACAGAGCTAGAAGGCCAAGCCTAGGCAACCCACCAGGTGTGTGATCAGGCACGGCAGTGTCTGTAGAGTGAAATGTCACCCACAAGATGGCCAAATTCTTCTAACTTCAACTCTAGGGATGGCTGCCAAAGACTATCATCAACCAGGTCCTCTCGCAGACCCAGGTGGATTTTGCCAACCACCTGCGCAAGCGCCTGGAGTCCCGCCCCACTCTGGAAGCCAGGTGTTGAAGACCAGCCTGCTGCTGCCAACGGCTCCCAGCTGAGCGCGCTTACAGGCTCACGAGGAGGTCTCTGCTGGAAGCCTACAAGTCTGTTAAAGATCTTCATCCAGGGACAGTGGGATGGGATGGTGGTGCGTGTCCAGTATGATACTAGAACTCAGATGGGTAACATTTTAGTACCAAGAAAGTGGGGACAAGGCTCTTTTAACTTCATTCACTGATTAGCTGTAAAATGAAGCACAGGGGTCCCAAAATATTTGTAAAAATTTTTTTCGGGGTCCTTACTTGTCTACCTAGAAACATCTTTAAAATGCTACCAGTTAACGAACGCAGGGTGCAGAGGGTGCAAAATACAAGGATTAGGACCGCACGCTTGATGAGCTCAAGAGCTCCATTCCTTGTGGGCAATGTGTGCAGAAAGAGCAGGTCTTACATAGAGCCTCCTGAAACCCTCTGCTCCTCCACCAAGACGGTAGAGAACTGCGCCAAAGAACAAGCAACTCCCACAGCAGATACCGTCCAAAACTCTAGTTCAAGTTATCTTAATGAAAAAATACAAAACTAATTATCAGACTGATTCCCCTACTTCTTCCATGAGCAGTAGTCAGAATAAAGAATCGTAACTAACACAAAAACTTTAGTCTGTACCTGTTTTAAAATTCTACTCTTAAAATCCATGCTAGTAAATTGCAACTTCATACTAAAGGAGTCATGGATGAAGACTTTAATTAGTTAAACTAAGTCCCCTACCTCACTCAAAGGAAAAACTCCAGGGGACTTAGGTCATTAATTATGTAGGATCTATTACCGGAATCTTTCATAAAAATTTAATTTACACGATAAGCACAAGACTAAATCAGTTCTTAAAAGAACTCTATAGCTGGTAGCTGATTAACGGGCATTGGAAGATGAAGATTATGACTGAAGATTTTTATTTACCTAATTAAAAGGATAGAACCAAAGGCAAGCGACAGAATGGTATTACTAAGATAAAATCCAACAAAAGCAAATTTTATTACTTTCCCATTAGTGATTGTTTAGACCTAAAAAGGGAGCTGAATCTTTAGTTTGGAGTCTATTACATTTCCTCTTAGCTTGACTCGGGGCTGCCAATTTCTCTGCTTTAACAGGTCAATGTTTTACTGTTTTGGAGGAGATGGCTGGAAGAAGGGGTGATAGGGTGACAGCAAAATCCCTTTCCAAGATTCAGAGAATTGGTGCTTAAAAAATGTAAGTTGAGATGGGGTTATTTGGCTAAAACGTATAAGTAGGATGAAAACCTAACCATTATCACTTGAAGCTTTTCCATTCCAGTGCTAACAGCATTGATGATTTACACCATTTGGAATTAGAGTTCTAGCTTATTTATTAAACACATGAGCAGTAGCAGGAATGCTGTTATAATTTATTGAGGTATTGAGAAGTTAGAACTGATAGAGATATTTATTAATATTTATTCTGATTGTTTCTTAGTAGTCTATTTTAGGCATGGATGAAATTATGTTTATCCAGCCAGGAGCTTCAGAGTGAGATGGGATAATTGTAAAAGTGTTTCTAGAACAGAATTATCATCCACTCCCAGCTAAGAGAAAGGGTTACTTGTTGAAAGATGTGTAGAGCAACATACGCTCCGGTTTCAAGAGAACAGGCTGACAGTAAAGAAATGGGCTTTCAACACACACCATGGTTTTGAGTTTGATTATAATTTGCCTTTTTCAAACTATGCAACTCTGTCTTTGAGGTACGTGGGGAGGTATTTTCTCACTTGTTTAATTTTACACTGGAATAAAATGAATTGTCAGTGATGATCTGCTTACAGAAACCATTTCATACAGGACTATAAGAAGAGTGGGTATTCTTTGAGCCCTTCAAATGAATCTAATCAACACACACACACAGAATATGCAGTATAAACAGGCAAAAATCATTATTTCTGTAACCTCCAATGTATGAAAGCGAAATGCACAAAACCCTAATTTGACCATTTAAATGGAGAGTGGGTGCACAACTTACATGTGTGGTAATTCATGCTACAAAGAATTCATCTCCAGCTTCCTCTAGATAACACCATCCTCGTTTACTTAGAGTTCTTCAAACCCTGATGATCCAGAAGCTTTATAACCAAGTCTGCTCCATAAGACCACGAATGAATAGACCTCAGCCTGATTCTGCTGGGTTTCCTGTTAAGAGAGGTGGAATGACCGAAACAAAGACCCTGGGTCTGGGTGATTCATTAGGAGACAAATACATTAGCCAAAGCTTCTGTGTTAAGATACCAACAGTCACTTGAAATTTGGGAAATTAAACAGGCATAATATATAGGGATCCTTGGCAACATATTACCGGACTCTTGGTGAACCACTCTATTAACCTAGGTAGGAAGTTACACACAGGGAAGTCTGGAGCAATCCTGGGAGGACTGCATTGCCACTGATTAAAAGGAGGACAGGGAAGCACTTAGGGACCCCCGGGGAAGGCTCATTCTTACATTCCAGTTTTTAGTCTTCTGAAAACTGTCCTTTAATCATCAGGTATTACAAAGGAAGATAAGCAAGGCAGGAACATAACCTGCACAGATCAACACACAAGTTCAAAGGGAAGAGCTGGAGGGAGACCATTTACCCTTTTAAGTTCCTGTTCACCTTTTTTTAAAAAAAATATTTCTTTAGGACTTCCCTGGTGGCGCAGTGGTTAAGAATCCTCCAGCCAATGCAGGGGACACGGGTTCGAGCCCTGGTCCAGGAAGATCCCACATGCCTCGGAGCAACTAAGCCCATGCGCCACTACTGAGCCTGCGGTCTACAGCCCGCGCACCTAGAGCCTACGCTCCGAAACAAGAGAAGCCACCGCAACGAGAAGCCCACACACTGCAACGAAGAGTAGCCCCCGCTCGCTGCAACTAGAGAAAGCCCACGTGCAGCAACGAAGACCCAACGCAGCCAAAAATAAATAAATTTATTTAAAAATATTTATTTGGCTGTGCCGGGTCTTAGCTGTGGCACACGGGATCTTTAGTTGCGGCATATAGGATCTAGTTCCCTGACTAGGGATTGAATCTGGGCCTCCTACATTGGAAGCACGGAGCTTTAGCCATTGGACCCCCAGGGAAGTGCCCCCTGTTCACCTTCTTGAGAGGGGTTTCACAGGATAAGAGGGGGTGGTCAACAAATTGGCTGGAGGGAACGAAGCAACGGGGGAGGGTGGAGATAGAAACCTGTCTCTCCTCCAAGGCTGGCTCCCCTTCCTCAGAGTGCCTTATTGTTCCGACACTGTCGCCACATGGACCCCAACCTGAAAGGGAAGCAAAGTGCCACACACACTCGAAGACAAGTTTTATTTGGGAAGAGTTTCTAATTGTTAAAGCTGCAAGCAAGTTCCCTTCACAAGTATAGTTCTACTATAGATCCCAGTGTTCAAAGGTACACCTCAAAATTAATAACAAAAACACACCCACGGTGAAAGGGAAGAGCTGTTAGACTGATTTGGAATGTACAGCCATGGATTTCAGCTGTTCTCAGAAACAGGCCCACCACTTCCTTGGGAACCGGGCAGGATGGAGGCAATGCCCACAGAAGGACATGTCTTTAAACATGTTAGCTACTTGGGCAAGGTTACCCATTCCTTAGAAAACACAGTAAGCAGCAAGTCTCAGCTGGTGGGGTACATGGCACAGGCCCAGTTCACAGGGCGCTTATGGGATCCCAGGGTCGGCAGCTGTTGGGAATGGCACACGAAGTAAAAGCCGTGATAGAAGGGACAGTGCTGAAGGGCAAGGAGTCTCTCTCAGACCCACCCGGCCTCTAATTTGCTACAGCAGAGGCCATGTTCTGCAGTATCTTCAGGAAAACATTTGTCACAGTTAAAAAACAAAAACAAAACCCGCTCATATTATCCCCAGGAAGTCCGTGTCTGCAAAGAAAAAGGGACTTGGTCAGGGTTCCCACGGGGGACTCCGCCTCCCATCCACTTCTGTTTCCACGTGATACAAGACGTCAGCCAGAGTGTGTTCCACCACGGCGCCCCAGCCCATGTCACTCATCTGCGGGAGGAACAAGGAACAGATAGGTGAGGTGAGACTGGAGTAACTGCAGCAAGAAGACTGAGGATGCACGCAGACATGTTCAACGTTACTCACAGGGCGGTACATGAGATCCTTTGGAGGATACTTGAAGCATGGTCCAAAGTTAATGGAGACCTGGGATAAATTCAATCCAAGCAGACATGAAGAAACAAAAGAAGAAAGTAGTGAAAACCTTAATGTGACATGGGAAATTTCTCGCTTTAAATGTAGCTGTGATATTCACGGTATGACTGAAACAAATGATATACATTAATACTGCTAAAGGTGGTCAATATCCTATAATAGCCATCAAGAATTAGGTAAATAAAATAAACTTGTGCTGATTTCTGTTTATAACCTAAAAATTTCCTTATATTACTTCAATGGGGGCTACTGACAGAGTAAGAGGACATGGAAACTTCCAGGCATTGCCTTTTCAAATAATTTGGTTTCTTTAGCTGGTAGGCTCTAATGATAGTCCCTTCATGCTGGATCATATTTTTTTAAAAATCACTATAAGCAACAGTTACTAACGATGGTAGGTTATCACGACACATAACACCAAACTGATTTATGCGTGTAAATACTTTATATCCTTTATACTGAACAACAGTGACCACACAGTACATCCAAAGGAAAGGTATGGGGCTTTACAATCACTGCATGATCTTTACCTGTCCAAGCAAATACTTCGTGGAAGACCCACATGTTTTTGGAACAAGCAGTAACAGTAGGAATATGCTCCCATCCCACTCCTAGGCCTTTCACATTTCTTTCTAGAATCCCATCAATGGCTCTTTCACCACAACCGTCCACCTATCTCCCTCAAGTCGTGTTCACAGGATGAACAGACGATACGTACCGTGCAGCTCTTGTACAGCGAGATGGCCGGAAAGTAAACCCCCTCAAAAATATCTTTGTAAGCCACACCTTGATTGACACCATTTTTATAAAAAATTATCTGAAACAAAAACCATGGTTTCACTTCAGAATTGTAAAAAATAACAAACTAAAAAAGAACTCCGTTGGAGAACCCTTTATCAGCAGTATGGTGGCAGCACCTGAAGAAATCCTAAGAATAGCATGTAGCTTGTGTAATAGCAATAGCTGACATTTATGTAATACCTTAGATTTTTCAGAGCCTATCTACATGCTCTATTCCAGCTGGTTCTCAGGTTTTGGGGGTTTTTTTGAGGTGCAATGGTGCTTTTTTTTTTTTCCCCTTGGTCCTCAGGCTTATTTGCTTTCTGAATTCCTATGCTACTTATATCAAACAGTTCCACTTTCTGTTTTTCATTGCATTATATTTATAAAAGGTAACTGGTCATCCACTGATCCCTTGGAACTATACCCTTCTGAGCTCATTTATCTGTCCCCTTCCCTTGCCTCAGGTCCTCACTTCTGCATTTCTACTTTGAAAATCTCGCAGGATCTTCTGTCAAAGTCTCTGAATCCGGGCTTCCCTGGTGGTGCAGTGGTTGAGAGTCCACCTGCCGATGCAGGGGACGCGGGTTTGTGCCCCGGTCCGGGAAGATCCCACATGCCGCAGAGCGGCTGGGCCCGTGAGCCATGGCCGCTGAGCCTGCGCATCCGGAGCCCGTGCTCCACAGCGGGAGAGGCCACAGCAGTGAGAGGCCCGCATACCGCAAAAAAAAAAAAAAAAAAGTCTCTGAATCCTTATTTCTTTGTCCTTTCTCTCTCAAAACTATCCGGAATATTCTCTTAACCACTATGGATGGACTTCAGAAAAGGCTCCTTTTTCTGAAGTAACTTTCTCTACCTCTTCTTCCCAGCAAGAGCTATCTTCTGCCTGGCTGTATTTTCTGGCTGTGTTATCTCCTTAGTTCAATTAACTGTTTCCCTTTACTACTTTTCCCCTAAAAACAATCGGAATCCTAGTTTATTTCTCCTACATTTGCTTCTATTACTGATGCATGTGGCTTCACAGCATTTTTATGGAAAAATGTTTCCAGCTCAGAACTTTCTTCCATCCCTTCCCCTTCTATTTTGGGCCCCTGTGGTTGGTCCAGATGCACCAGCCCTTCTTTGATTGTGCCATGACCTTGGGCAAACATGTTCCCAACAACCCTGGAGAAGGGAGGCAGGAAAGTTCTAGAAGGCACTGAACGAGCCATCACAGCTCCTGCTGCCCCCCGGGTCACATACCGAGACCCTGAATCTCCTATTCCAGTTTCCTCCTTCCGCACTTGCTACCTCCTCTGACAAAGTATAAGTATCTCTGACTTGCTTCCTCAATTGCCCTCAGGCTTTCTGATTTGGCCACTGTTTTATACCCCCTTTTCTCTAAGAATCCAGGTCATTGCTCTCATAGCAGCAGCAGGTAGCCCAGAAAGAACAAAACACGGCAGGCAGGAGAGTGTGCTGGCCCTGCTGCTGCTGTGTTAGCAGAAATCCCTTCATCCCCCCTGTGGGCCTCAATTCCCTCACTTTCATAATAAGGGGGTTGGACCCAATGTTCAAATTCTTCTAATTCTGACATTTTGATGACCATGACTCACCTCGCTATGGGGAGTCTGCTTTAGGCTCTTCTCTGCTTTATCCACAAAGTCTTTTTCTTCAAAATACAAGTAACTCTTGAACTTTATCAAAGCCTTGAAAACCAAGAGAGAAGGAAAGAAAAAAAAAAAAAAAAAAGGAAAAATGAAGCATCAGCTACATCACCATGGGGAGGGGGGAAAGCCAGATTCACACAAATAGCACTGAGGCCTTGTGTTCTGAACAGAAATTTAAAATCTTTGCAGAGTCAGCTTTATTAGATTTTGAACAACTATGTGTGTCTTTAGAATTACCAGATGGCACATGCTTGTTAAATATTTTCACAAAAGGCCCTTACTAAGATTTGGCGGGGGGGTCACTTCCTTCCCTCCTAGTTCCCTACCTGTTTCTCCCACAGGTGGTCTCTGGGTCACTCCTTTCTTACTGGTTCCTAAGACTCTGTTTAACTATTCACTCCCAGGTAAACATATGACATTAATTTTTTTTTAACTTGTTTTTGTGGCCGCACCACGTGGTTCGTGGGATCTTAGTTCCCTGACCAGGGATTGAACCTGCACCCTCAGTAGTGAAAGCGTGGAGTCCTAGCCACTGGACCGCCAGGGAATTCTCTGACATTCATTTTCTTCCGAACAGTTCCACAGTATTCCATTTTATGGACATATTAGTAATTGCTTATTCAAATTAAAAACAAATTCTTATAATGGAAATGAAACAGTAAATAATTTTAAGGATTCCAATAGTATCCTCGCGGTAACCGTAGACCTCTGTGCACTGCAGAACCAAGCACTCATATGGCTGAAGGTTCTAGGTGGTGGCAGGAGTGACGACAGCAGCAGTGTGATGCCACCAATACAATGTACTCTGACTGCTTATTATCAGAACCACCTTGGAGGAGACACCACCCGATTTAAGCACTTACTCTAAAGCTACCATAATGAGGACAGTGTGGCATTGGCAGAAATAAAGGTCAACAAATAGATCAGCGGAACAGAGAGCCCAGGAATCGATCTCCACAGTCACTGGACTATTGGCAGAAATAAAGGTCAACAAATAGATCAGCGGAACAGAGAGCCCAGGAATCGATCTCCACAGTCACTGGACTGTCACAAAAGGAACCAAAGAAATGAGGAAAGGAGTTTTCAAAAAA